ATTTATCATTTAAAGGAATCTCTTTAAATTATTTACACAGAATCAATTCGGTTGTTAATCATTATTGCAATAACATTTAGGTAAATCATATAATTACTCAGAAGGCAAAGATTGTACTTCGGGTTTGTGTAGTATTACAACTAGTCGGTCTTTATTACTATTATTTAAAAAAATGGAATCTCCATTTTTGGTTTTACCATATAACATATTAATAACACCCGATTTAAATCTTTTACCTGCCGGTACATTCTGAAAGTGTCCTGCAGGATTTAGGATCTCCAACACATGTATTTTTTTACTTCGGGTAATATATAAAAACATTAAAAATACCAAGATGATAAGCCGTTATGCATTTTTTATTACTCAGTATATTTTTATTGCTAACTAATATTTTACCCTTACCGTAATTTTCTAGCCACCGATGAAATTAATCACCCTTGGGATGGATTAAGGTCTCAGTATAGCGTAATTCATGTCAGCAAGATGTGCTGATATTAAAAGCGAAATACGAAACTGCTTTTGGGTCGCAGTTGTGCTACAGTTAGCGATCCGTAAATATTTTTCAGTCCTACGCAATGAAACAACATAGCAAGCAATGTTGCAAGGATTAAAAACGTAGAGTTTTTTTTTATTTGCTGTTGTATGCATTCATTTTTACTCGAACGAGCTACTTTCTATTTCTAATTTTAGGAAACAATCGCCAAATACTGAATATGTAGCCTTTCAAGAAAAGACCACATGTATTAATTCAGCGCATTTCAATTAGTTGCATTGAATTGTGTTGGCAAACTGGAGTCGCTCCAGCTTGTAACCGAATTCCATGGGAACACAGACTACTTGTAATTCGAAAACATTTCCTGGTACGAATTGAGCGCAGCAACTGACACGAGTTGTAGTGCAAGAAACAGAACGGAATAATCCGAGTCCTTGTTCTAATGACATACCACGGGACCGATCCGTGGGTTCAAGCGGTGGGAATATTCTATACAACTATGGTCTGATAAAGTTTCACGTCAAAGAACTGTGCGACACGTCATCTAGAACTACAGAAGGAAGCATGCGATTCAGCATTTGTAATATAGGCTAAATGAAGATTGCATCACTCATTCCTATTTAATCGAGAAATAGCCTCTCATTTTGAAAAAAAAAAAACTATCGAGAAGAAAGTATATAGCCTATATAATCTTATCGATGGTAATGTTAATCTCAAATACTGAATATCCGGACAAAATGTGTTCAAGATTAGACAGAAAAATACTTTTCAGTTTAAATTTCTTGAATACACAGCGAACTACCCTTGATTAAATTGCATTTGTCATCAATCATTCGAAACCTTTCCGAACTCATTTCTAAATTCTGCTTTTGTTCTGTAAATCTGACGAATTGAGATTAAAGAAAAAGATTCAACACATTTGAAATGAGCGAGCATTTTATCGTGATGGTTGGCGCGTTAAGAAATGCGCACTCTTTACCTGGGAAATAAATAACACTTTATTTTAAAAAAACAACGGTTACGTTATCACCAAATCTATTTTCATTTACACTAAATGAAATTTCGAGAGGCGCAAAATGTACGTTTAAGTTTTATCGAATAGAATCGTGGAAGACGATTTTGACTCGAGTTAACAAACACCTGGATGTCACTTCTACTCCCATAACGTGACGTTAATGTCAAGTTAATTAAGACGCCTTCGTAAAATATCGCGATTAAAGAGAGGAAAACCAACATTTTGTGCATTTCTCCGGTCTTCTTAAGGACATCAGCCAATTTATCGCCATCTATTGGATAGGAAATGAACGGATGGTCGGATTTTAGCGTTTGAGAATCAACTGGATTATTTGAGGGGTACGGCCACTATATTAGGAAAAATGTTAATATATTTGCCACACCCCACTGAATTAGAAAGCTTCCAAAAAACACCTACTTATTATTTTATTGTATGTGAACTCTTATTTACTTTGAATACCTATGTTTTTGTTTCAGTGACTGAAGTAAAGCGTTTTTTTTACTTCGCACTCCGATTCTAAAGAGAACCTTCACTTCAGTGGTCTGGACAAATCCCAGCAGAACAATGACGTCTGAAAAAAATCCAAAGAAAATGTATCGATTTTTTTGCGTTTACTTTAGATAAATGTATTGAGTTCCTATTGTTATTGTCCTGTTCGGGTGACCGTATATATGCAGTACACCTAGATGTGCAATTAAAAGTGATCCACAGCTAAAAATAGATAATCGTTTTCAGTCTTGAGAGTGGAAGTTACTTTTAAATATTTTGAAGTACAAAAGCAAGAGTTTTAATTCGTTCAGATAATAAAATATTGATGTTATTCTATGTCTCCCACACTCCAATCAGAACTGTGCTTTAGGCTAATTAGAAAAAAAATGAAATGAAGATACCTTTTTGTTTAAAGAGGAGCGTCAAGAAAGGACAAATTGACACAGTCTTAATGGAAAGACAGTATATTCAAACATTTCTAAACCGTCCGAATGGGGAATGGGGCTGTGGAGTTGGCTGGGCCAAAAAGAGGTGGAGGACAACTCTCGTAAAAGGACTTGACGAATCTCCAAAGCATCTTCATCTTAGAAGATGAAGTGAGAAGCACAGAAATGTATGCCCATCCTGAGGGACATTAAGGTTATTTTTAAGTTTTGAAAATGAAACTATCCCGTGGTAGTACATAATCGTGTATGTATTGATTGGATTGATTTCTTTCGTGAAGACGAGCGTGTTCTCGATTATTCTTGCCTTACGTATAAGAGTGTGATGGAGCCGATTATGTAAGCGTTAAATTACTGCCTGTTTAAAGCGGGAATAAATCAGTCCGTTGTGAGAAAATTAGTAACCAATCATCACAGAAACCACATACATAAAGTATCACGTTACCTCAGTGTTTAGGTAGGACACAACGTTTGTTTAATCCATCCATCATCGGAAAGCAGTTTAATCCTGATAAGGATCGTGGCAAACCCCAAAGCCTATCCCACAAGCAAATGGCATAAAGAACTGCGCCCTGGATTGGACGCCAGTCCATTTTTGTTGTAGTGCCCCGGAACTTTAAAACAAAATCAAAAACAGGTTTCAAGAACAATTATATTTCGAATAACCCAATAAAAGTGACTCGTACGAAGAAAATTGGGAATTTGCAATCTCCTCAAGTCAAATTTGTGTCAAAGCGCCAGACATATAAGTAATAACGGTAGTATACTGATGACTATCGATCATTTTGAAGTTATTAACTCAGCAGAATAGAAGTCATTTACTGTAACTTGCTGAGTGAAAAAAGCCGCGATAACGAAAATGTCTTTAAAGATAGTGAAACAGTAGGAACATCGAAGTGCTCTAAATAAAACAATTGAACTTCAAAATTGATATTTTCTAAGAACTGAGTATTTAAATGTATACAAAGAGCTAAAAGCTGCAGCACAGCACCATGCACGAAAGGGATCAGACACAAACATATTCGTACCGGGACACAGGACCTGACACTAATGGTGACAGCGATTAGGCCGTTGGTGTGAAAGAAGCGCAGGGAAATTGAACAATTTAACTGTTTTTGTGGATAGGAATTTAAATGCACTTTGTTAGAGCAACAATTGCGTTACGTTTACTCCTATCAAGTATTTTAGCATTAATATTAATAGATGTAAGTGAATACGTTCTTTTAAAGATTTAAAGAATTTGTACTCGTATGTACAACCGGCAGCAGGAAGTACCTAACCCATGTCCCCCGAAATAAACTTTTTTTTTTTCATTACAAGGATATTTGCATGCAGAGACACGGGCTGAATTTGTGAAAGCAATCACAATTAGTGGTAAAGAAACACAAAGCATTTACCTTTTTTTCAGATTCCAGCGGTCCAGCATTCATACAGTTTTGCCCATTAGTATCTTTAAATTGTATTTTCACATCTAAGCCATGTTTTTTGTTTTATTGTGCCGTTTGATCCCTGTTGTAATTGGTGTGAAGTTTAGACCAGAGTCCTCTAGCGCCTCTTCACAGTAGAAGCGAACTCCAATTTTCTCCCGGTGGCTCTCAGCTGTGCTTTTCTTTCAGGGGCTGTATGTCACCTGCTCTTCTTGCCAGATAACTTAATATATTGGTCCTCTGCTGCAGACGTCATTTTCATACACCCTGATAATGTTATTCCAGCTTCACTGCCTTCTTTGCAACAAGTAATGATCTCCACAGGAAGAGGAATACTCTAGGGCCTTTGAACTGTTGTCCCTCAGTCCAGCTTTCATTTGTAAATCATGAAAGGCAGCAAGTGTTTCTTGATTGATTTGCTTTGGACATCCTGATATCAAAATGTCCACCATGAACGGCTTGTTAAAGCATGTTATTAGGGTGCGGTATTGGTCACTCACTTTAATCAATTAAGTGCCTCATGAGGTCTTTAAGGTTTAGCTCAGATGCCTTAATCATTTGAGAATAAAATGGTTATTTTGGTGAAAGTCACATTTGATGACTAACATTTTAAAAACATATGTGTAATATCTTCATATTTACACACACTTCATTCATATCAAGTCTTTAATATGATCGCTAATATTATAGATTTGTAGGTTTGGTTTTGTTCTACTGACCTGTTTCCATCTTACATGTGTCAAAAAGACAGAGCAAATGATCTGAAATATTACAAGCTATTTTAATGTGGAAGTGCACTATTTTGGCACTGTCGCTAAGGCTCTGCGCCTGGGGCTGGAAGGTTGCCGGTTCAAATCCCGCGGCCGGCAGAGGAATCCTACCCCTGAGCAAGGCCATTAACCCCAACTGCTCCAGGGGTGCCGTATAAATGGCTGACGCTGCACTCTGACCCCAAGCTTCTCTTTCCCTGTCTGTGTGCCTGTGTGTCTCATGGAGAGCAATCTGGGCTCTGGGAAAAGACATAATGCTAAAGCTAGAAACTGTATTTGGCCAATAAAGTGACTATTTTTTCCCAATAGGTAAAGGATGACACTACAAGCAACCAACCACACAGATGTGTTTCATAAACCAGTTCTTAATACACAGGCTTGTTAACATGAATCTCCATACACACATCCTTCTGTGTGTATACTTGTGTGTGTATACAGTATACAAAATAAAGAAAAAACACCACAACCAAAACACAGCAGATTTGTTGTGCTTAATACATTTGCAAAAAAAAATGCAGACATTTTTTACAGAGTGTGGAAGAAAATTAAAAAGCCCACAAATCAAAAATGTAAATAAAAAGAAACATGAAAACAAATTAAAAACCAGGAAATAAAACAGATGATTGTTGAAGTATTGGTGGTATGAGTTACAGTTTCAGGGGAAGCTGGAGCCATGCTGGTCTGTGAAGAAAAGGTGACAGATCACGAAAGCAGAGAAAGTATTATGAACAGAGATAAATATCTTTTTTTAACTAAGAATATTTAAGTGGAATTTATTATTTTTTCAGCTTTGCTTTTAAAGGTGTTTTGTTATTTCACACAAATTTGTTTTCCACAAAACCTGGAAAAAGTATAAAGAAATTAATTAAACATGTCCAAGCACAGGCCTCTGCTTTAGTGGAAATACAAATGAAAGGCCTTCATACCCCATAAGCCTTCATAATTATAGTCTCTTTAAATTATTTTATAATACAATTTAAATAATAATACAGGTAAAAAACCCAACTATTTTTTCCATAATTGTGAAGGTGGCACAAACCATTTCCTAAATAAAGTGAGGAAAAAGAGAAAATATATTTGTTCTCGACAAAAAATGTTTCAGTTTACATTCAGTTTTTTAATCATTAAAAACAAGATAAAGAAAATTGAAAAAATAGTTTATGGACTAAATTTAAAAGCTGAAAAAAAGTACTTGAGCTATTTAAAGGAAAATGTCATGTTGAAGGCTTATAGAATTTAACATTGTAATGTAATTTGAATTGTACATACAGTATCCTCATCTGAGGTGCTTTAGTCTTTGTATGTAAAAACATTCTGATAATATTCTCCTGGTAGGATAGTGGGCAAGAAATATTCTTTGAAATGTATTAGATACAATACCTGGTTTTGAGCTGAGGAAATCTCTACATGTTAGTTGACGTTAAGAGAGCTTCCAATTGTGTTGTAAGGAAAACAGAAGAAAAAAAAGTAACATGTTTTCAAGGAAGTGGTTTCTGGAGTACAAGCCTGCAATTATGCGTATTACTGTATATTTTGCCGAATGGATGCCAGTTTCACAGTCCAAAAGCTGACGTAAGACCAGGGCATCATTAACATTTGAAATTGTTATAATAGCAATGTCTATCAGGAACATGTCATGCCTGAGCGTAAACTGATAAACTGATAAAACTGAGTTGATGATGAAATAATGAGCTTTGCTTTCACCAGTGTATATAAAGAGATTTCACCCTTTTTGCGTGAAAATAAGTACTGAATGTATCAAAAACATAACCATACTTTTACACACTGTATTTCTAAATAGACTGTTCAAATTCATCACTAGCCTGTAAATATGGCAGATCAATTATTTGCTAACAACCAAATGGGTTTGAAAGGCCAACAGGTTTCCTTTGTTTCCTTTCTAATATTCTTTTGGGGAAAAGAAATGTTGTACATTTAATCCTCCAATGTTTTTTAGTCATCTGGTAGGTCTGCAAACGCTTGGAAAGTTTACAGAAGCCTCTGGAAGTCGGTAGCAAAACCCCCAGGACCACTTAAGAAAATAGTACGGTTTACAAACGAGAGGAGACCATTCAGCCAGCCTGGCCCGTTTGAGAGCTAGCTGCTTATTGATCCAAAGGCCACATTCATATATAGATCCTTTTCATCTGGAGGGACATCAGAAAAATCTAAGAGATTATCGTCATCGACATCTCAAGTGACAGCTGTCGAAAGTTATAAATTATTCTCGTTTCGACTGTGGGCTCCATATTGAGACATTTGAGGTTAATATAGTGGCTGCAACTCCACCAGGAAGAGGACACAAGAAAGTTTTACACAAATGTGCAGTCAGAAATGTGGTTGGGCTGGATAACTCAAACCTAAGGGTGACAATCGGCTTCCAAAACCTTTGGCACCACAAGGGTGACTTTTCTACAAAACTACAATGTGAGACTGGCCTCATGAATCTGGGGTCTGTGAGCTTCGTGGCCACATGACATGAGAAATGTGCATTTTGTGTACATCAGCCGACTGACCTAAGTCAAGCTGCATCCCGTGATGTGACTGGATGAGACTGAAATTGAGGTTTTGGACACTCTCGCCAGGAGTGTGGTTATCACAGAAATGTAAAGCTCATGTTGAAAACGAGAGTCAGGCCTTCTGCAAAGTAGGCAAGTGAGTCAATCTTACTTTGGGGCTGTTTTGCATCCTCTGGTTCTTGTGCTTCTGTTAAATTTCAGCGATGGATAGATACTGAAGTGTATCATGATATTGTATCCAAAAACCTGGTTCTCTCTGATAGGAACACATTTTCAGCTGTATGATGACCTGAATCTGCTGCCAAATGGTTAAGGAAACACAATCTCCAATTGTGAATTCAGTCCAATAACATATTTGTGGTAAGAGTTTAGGAAAACAGTTGACAAGCACCAGCTGTGTCATTTGAAGGAACTGGAGAAATTCTGCATTGTCTAAAATGCCAGAACCTATTAAAAGGCTCAGGAAGTGCCTTATTTATTATTCACACTGCGGAGGAACATCATATTTTAATGAGAAAATATGCATTTATTTTGGACAGATTTATTTTGGATGGAAAGTCTTACAATTTTTGTGACAAACATAATAAATACTGAACGTACATTTTCATGTTCCTTTTGCTAAAACCAACATTGGTTTGTGCTGGGTAAATGAAATAGAACTTCACTTCACTATACTGAACTTGAATAATAAACAAAAGTGCAACAGTAGACCCTTTTTCAAAACTCCCAAACCACTCATTTTCAAAGTACATAATATGCAATGATTCTCAGTAACATTGCAATAATGCGTACAGGAAAATCAGAAAATCCCAATGAAATCTATGAGAAATCCTAGAAATAATTCAATGTAGGAGCAGCAAGGTAAAGAATACTTACTCATTCTCTAATCCCCTGGCTTTTACTTCAGACCTTGCTTATTGCCATCAAAACTCTCTGGGCTTTATCTTGCATTTGTGGTTCTCTGAGTGACAAGGTGCAGAAGTTAATTGGACTATTTGTTTGTGCAACGTAGCCTGCTCATAAAAAGAGGGTTTCAGCAACCTCTGAACTAAAAAAATACACAGTAGGATGGAAGCAGAGTGTGGCTGCAGAACCTCAGAACCCAAGAAATTCTGAAATGAAGTTAGTTGCAATGACAAAATCACACCGATCAGATTTTCACAAACCAGAATATGCAAGACGTAAGACAACATGGAGCTGCAATGCAAACTGCATCGCCAAATGCTGTATGGTGTTATGGTAACAGTAACAGGCACATGGTCTGAGTTTTATGAGTGCACATACTTACTGGCTGTTCTGTTGCACCAAGGCATGCTGATGTGCAGTTTGTTTTGGCTATTTTCCTGTGCTTGTATTTTTCATAACTGCATCTGCTGATTTGCATTAGTGTAGGCAGCAGAGCAGCTGCATGCAAAGCATTAAAATTATCAGTCAAATCTTGCAGTTTTCTTTAAAGGTCAAATCCTATAAGGCCTTATGCCAGGGTGAGTTTTTCTAATACTGTGCCAAAAGCAGGCCTGGTTGGTATTTCAGTTAATAATCTTTTAATGTTTAACCTTTGTATTGCAGTATCAGGCTCACCATCTGTGTGTAGGAGGATGTGAAATTCAGACCCATGCTGCTGGGGCACAAAATATGGTTTCAGATATTTTCAACAGTAATTTAATATGTTAATGCAGACCATCATTGTCTACATGACTTAAAAAAACCTTGTCCTAAAAATGTTTTAATGACTTATCTATATAATGAATTACATGCAAGTTGAAATGCTTCAAACCCAGGTTCTCTGAAAAAAAAACAAGAAGTAGTAATTCGGTATTTTTGTTTGACAAAACACTGTAGCAGCGTTGATGCTCTGCAAACATATGTAACTTGATTTGCAGTGGATATTTTCAACCATCCAATCACTTCAAATAGCTGAGTTTTGAAACATTAACTTGCATTCTTAAATAATTCTACTTTCACTATTTTCAGAGTTTCAGTTTTATTAATACAGAAAATTAAACTAAATCTTGAGAGTAACAATTACATATATATAATCACCCCTGTTATGGAAGCAGTAGAAGAAAATAAAATATATAAAAGAAGCAATTGAAAATTGCAATTTGGACATTTAAGTGTACAGTTCCTCATACTGATATACTGTAGCATGAAAGTGTATGACAAAAGTGCTGGAAATGCAAAGGTAAAAAAAAACAGACATCAACAAAAATCAAAGGATTTGTCTCACTAGGAGCTATTTAGTCAGGAATAAACTTCAGACTGATGCAGTGTAAATTGCTGTTGCTTACAATAATTTGAATGGAAGCCTATCCTGGCCATTGAAAAGCTCTGTCAATATCCAGACTACTGGTAAGGCCTTTTTGGGACAAGAGCTTTCTAAAACAATTTAATAACATTTCATGTACTGAATGAGTAACTACTGAGGTATAGTTACAGTGGAGTAAATATATTTGCAAAAGCTGTTATTCCTTCTTGTGCAATCGTTTGTTTTGAGCTAAACTGAATAGCGAAGGCAGAAGACTCAGTCTCCAGTGGAATGTTCTAGACTTCAAAAGGCAAAACAGCTCTAATAAGGCAATAGTGGCAATAGGCAGACAATAGTGTTTTATTGGTGTCTCTGAGTTATCTTTTGTATTTTTGTTTGTTTAGACATTATTTAGTTTCTGTTGTCTGAGCATTAACTTTAACTACTGTTTTAGGATTCAGAATATTGGCAAGACACTATTTTATTTTCCCTTGCATAAGCAGCTGAAAAAAGCATAAAGAAATTGACCTAAATACATACAGTATCACTGTTTATATTTAACCCTAGATTATCAGCTATCGAAATATCATAGACAAATGAAAGGTCATATTGTGTAGGTGGAATTTGTGTATGACTCACATTCATCTCCAACTCATAGCAGGTTTAACTGTTTAAATATCAGTGGCTTTTTCAATTCTGTAAACTAAGTTTCTGTTCTATGTGTAATTAAAAGGTTAATGTTAAATTTAGCCTCTGCAAACAGCATCAAGGAAGATGACCAATACTGTGTATACAGAAGAGGTGACAAACCTGGAATCAGTTTCCTGTGATATTTCGCAGATATTCTGATATTTGTTAAAGTTTCAAATAAATCTGTAACTAGTATCAGACAATTGTGACAGTGTGGTGGTAAATACCAGTCCTGTAATTTTTACATGTCCAAAATCACTAAGAAATACACAAAAAATAAATAGGGAAAAATAACATGGTCAGCTTCTGCAAATATTTTTTTAGGTGATTCAGGTGACTTGGTGGTAATTTTGCGCTACTGTTTGTCTCCTATAGTTTTGCTTGTATGCCCTTTTTTAAAATGTTTTACAACGGTGGTGTCTTGCTGTAAACAATTCACACTGAAAAACTTACTGTTTCAAAATTGTTGTGTTCACTAAACTGTTTTTCATCAATTACCAAATACACTCCTGAATCATTCTCTGCCCGTAGCAAATCAGGCTGAAATCCCATATCAAACGACATCATCACAGAGGGGTAAAAACAGTTTTGCGAAAAGACCACAATGTATCTCAAGATTCACGTTTAAACTAGGTTCTATCTATATCTTTCTTCATGTCCTGTCAAGTGAAATGGTTGCCGGCATTTCTGAGAAACCATCCCGGGCCCGCTTCCTTCCTATTTATAAAGAGTTGCTACCCTCTACAATTACAAAGTCCCTTTCCCGTCTCATATTCGCAATTTCAGACCGCTCAGCCTTTAACAGCAAACTGAAATGAGAGACCTGCCTTCCCTTTAACTGCAGTTAAAAAATGCGACAATTATGAGTAAAAACATAACGAGAACAAGTTGTTTTCACGTCTAAATGATAATTCTAGGCAACACAAAACAGCTATAACGTAAAAAGACAGGACCCGTGACTGCATTGCCACCGGGGTTTGATATGTACACCCACAGCAGTTGACACTGAGCAGTATCTTCCACTGTCTAAATCATAATTGATATCGGGATTATTCAAAAAAATCATGTACATCTTTTTCCCCATTTATATTTAAAATATAAGTAGAAATGACGTCTATCTCAGTTTACAGTAAAGGGCATAGCTTTTGCTGTAACATTTTTTGTTATTTTGAAGTTTCCTATTTAAATGTACTGTTTCTTACAAGCCCAGATGTAGGTCAGAAATTGTGATGAAAAAAATGCTTAAGTGAATAAATGTGGTCGGTGAGTTGGAACGATGTTTAAATTCAAATCCTCACCGCGGACTCTCGGCGTGACGTTTACTAGACATACAATTTGACCTACTTGTCTTTTGAATAATTATTTGCCCTTTTCGTTTTAACCAAGAAACCAAGCAGAAAGACTGAAATCAGAGGTGATATCTGTGGTACACACGAAGCGGCTGCAGTACTGAAAGTACGGGGTTTGTAAAGCACGAAAGAGGGAGATATCGGTACATTCGAGGTATTAATCACCTATGTAATTATTTAATTAAACAGTGAAAATGATGCTGTCATGACCATATTTTTATTTTAGATTTTGTATTGAGTCCTGGCATTATGTAGTATTGGTCCGGAGTCCACTCAGAAGAGGTATTCGGTTTTGCTAGCTCTGTGGTTTATTTTACACATGCAAACACATTGCTGAAGTATAGGATCCAATAGAAGAGATACGTAAACACGCTCCCTTTTCTTATTTAAATGTTATTACGTGAGCTTAACATTTTTTTTTAATTTTGTTTTGAACTGCATGTATATTATAATTCCAACTACCACACCCACACCACACCACAATGAGTACAGTACACTATGAAGCCTATAAATTCAGTCATAAGCTGCTCAGCTTCTTGTGGGAATTCTGTGGGTGGCGGCGGTATAAAAGATGAGACAGGGTCAGATTACAGGTGGGGTTCGGGAAGGTTATAAGGTCGCCTGGTGCTGCTCAATGATTAAGAAATTAGCTGTGTGTCGTAAAATGGGAAGATGGTGCTTAATATTAAATTGACCACAGTACACGTTCGCGGTAAATGTACACGCACACGGGGCTCTGCACGTCAAAATTAAAAACAATTCAAAAGGGATCAATTCAAATATAAAACAAATCTTTGGATGTCGGTTTTTGTTAGTGCAGCTTCAAAAGAGATGTTTGAGCAAAGGTGGGATGGATGTCCACATGCATAGTGCACGTTAGGCCCAATTTCTATCCCATTACATTTGTTTTTCATTCCATGACTGTTTCTGCAAATGAATAATTGTTTAAAGATTTATGATGTTTTATTCTTCAGTATGATGTGTAATAGTTCTTTCCATCAGCATGGAAAAACCTTTCTAATTTCTTGGTTAGTCATGTTCTTGTACAGGACAGGGCTTATACAGTAGGTTCGTGCACTAGCAATGTCATTTCTGAAGCATCTGAAGCAAAACCTAGAGTGTTACAAGCAAAACCTTAGACGTATTTCCAGGAAAAGTGGAGATGTATATCATAACACACCTGGGCTGATGAACACCCATTAAATCCATTTGTTATTTCACATCAACTTAAAAAAAAAACCGAATATTTTCCTAGTTTGTTAAAATGAAGCTGCTGTGCTTGATGTGTCTGATAGTCTACCACAGAGAACCTCAGTTGTTGACTTTTTCTTTCGTTGCGTATCAGATGGGACCGGAAAAAAGCTCAGAACTGTGGAGTGACCTGAAATTGGGACAACGTCCCACAGATTACAAAGACTTTTCAAAGTGCTCTACAGGTAAAACAATCACACAAGGTTATATGGAAATTCCTGTGAAATAACTTCGAAAATCTAAAACATGTAAAATATGATACTTTTCATATACAGTATTCTTTGAAATGTAATTTGTAGAGGTTCGAATATTGAGCCGTGTCTTAATGCGAAATGCGAAGAAAATGGTAGATAGTAACTGCTATTTCCGAGTCGAAATGCATTTTCATAGTAGAATTAATTAAACGTTGCTAACAGTTTCATAACATTGAAGTGTAATAATGTTTCCATTAATATCATTCAAATGGATGTCATGATTTGGAAGCACGTGTTTAAGAAACAAAACGGGATTTGTAGGAAAGAACAGAGAACAAAGACATGGATTCTATCTTGTCGAAAACGGGCACACTTTTGTAGAGAACAAAATGAATATTCAGTCTGTGTTCAAACTTTCTAATTGGAAAAAAAGATCTGAATATAATCCATTAATTACTATCCAACTGCGGAGTAAATGTAGCTTAAAAGACTCATTTACCAGCTGTCCATTAACTGGTACTAAATGATAGGAATTGCACAGCTTTGAAAAGGACGTTTTTTTAAAACCCTTTTTTATTACACATATAAAAACCAAAACGAGAGTTAAATAACAGACCAGCTCGGCACATTCCTTCGCAGAAAACTATTAATTAATTCAACCCTGCTTGTCATTATCATAATAAAATCGCAGCTGAGGGTTATGTCTGGGAGAGCACGAGTGGCCGGCGGTGGAGGACAGCTACTCTGTCCATTGGCAGGGACAGCTGCCGCGAAACTCGCAGACAGACACACACCCACGGTGTCTGCAACAGTCCCAGCTGCTGCCTGGCTGCCTAACAAAGGTGCTGGAACAGAGGAGTGCGAATGCTTAAAATACAAACTTCCAGAATCTCATTTTCTTCGTCTCCTCTCCCCCCCCGCCTCGATTCAAGCGTGACTCAACGGTGGTTAATGCATGCTCTTTTGGCACTTGAAAAACTTGACGTATTTTGTGGTCTAGTGTTGTGGAACACGGTATAACACAGCAACAGAGAACAGAAAGTATAATAGGTTCAGTTTCGTATCTCTTGCTGTTTCATCAGTTCAGTTATATTCAAGGTTACCTAAAAAAAAAGTTAATGTAAGGGAGTCATTCTCGAGGGTCTGAAAATTCAAATTTATGTTCCGATTTCTCATAGAACACACTTTTTAAGATTCTGTGACTAATATTCTAATTCTTACAATCAATTCATAAATAATGCAGTCAGGGAAGCCCACGTCTGAACTGTGAACGAACTTCGTGTAGATGAATGAATGATTCCCTTTACAGCCTTGATTCGTTTTATGCAGTGAAATGCAATTGCAACATTTCACCCATTAAACTGAAATCAGGATACAAATTAAGACACTTAAAGGCTTTATGGGTTTTCTAAAAAAGATCACATGATTAATGTCAATGTGTATCGGTTTGCCTTGTTTTTGTTCTATACTTAAAGCAAGCCGGAAAAAGTACAATTCGACGACTTATTTATTCAAAGACCGATAGTGGTGTTTGTGGTGAATACAGATAGCGTACTTTCAAATAAAACGAGCACTAGGGAAATGCTTTTAAATACATTTGACAATAGCCATAATTCATCAAAACAGAATGTATTTACTCTACAGCTAGTTTATAAACGGGCTTGCGTATGATTAATCGATACTAAGTAGTATGAAAGTTTCGCTTCCTAACTCAGCCGATGTACTCACATCGGGCTTCAAGATTCATTTCTTTAGGCTCCTACACCCTAGATAACTCTGGTTCTGATGACTCCTCTTATCCAGCTTTTTACCGAAATCCCCCTTCATTCTGGCACTTTCTGCCAGTTATTGATATGATACCCCTTTGTTTTTATGGTTTTTTAAATGGGCTCCATTAAACTGGATGCCCTTTTTCTCCTTCATGTTTTACTGTGTTGTCTTTGAGCTGAAAAGCTGAAAATATTAAGAAGCTGAGTACAGACCAACCACAGTATTATTTCCCTTTAGCAAAGCAAAGCTGCGATCACATAAAGTCTTCAGGGTCTAACCACACGTTAGTTAAAAACCAGTGTGTTTTTGGTCAATCCAGGAATTGTAGATCTACAATTCTAAAAACTTAGAGTACTTCATTTTCAGATTCTGTAGTACACCATTATATAAAATATTTAATATGGGTTTCAGTCACTTTGACTTTGATTAAATCAAGAATTTAGCTCAACTCAGTCTTGAAATTGTAAATGACATACTGGCCTGTTAATGTTTTCACTGTAGTGCAAGGATACACAAAATATGGTCTCAAGGGGCAACACTTCACCAACGTTTTTATGTTATTAAATCACCAGAACACTAAAAATGAGCTAATTTGGTCCAAGTAAGCAAATAATGTCCTCAGAAATTGCAGTGAAGTTGATACGGTATCCCTTCTCCTCCCAATGGAAATTGGAAAATGGAAAATTGCCAACAGTTGCCAGCAGTTTGCTGCTTTGCAATTGCAACAAGTTGCCAGCATTCTTTTTTAAATTTCCCATTTTTTGTTACATTAAACAATGTCTTAAACCAACATCTGCCATTTTTATTTCTTGTAGATATAGACAATTATTCCTAGCTCAATGAATTAATTATTTACATAAATGCTATAGTAATTGCTATAGTAGTTGTAGTATATTAACACATCTATCTAGTTCTTTTTAGTGGGCATTTGTTGTCTTATCACACCATTACTTATATTGTTTATGATGTATTTACTGTATAATCTAACTTCTCTAAGTTAATGTTAAAAATACTGGGATGTAAAAGACTTACTTGTATAAGTGCCTCTAACAGAATACACTGCATAGCAAGCATGCACACAGTTCCAGTCTTGAAAGCTGGGAAAAAAGTTAAGATGATCTAATTAAACACATATTGCATATAATTAAGCGCTTACGTGGAAAGAAAAAGCAGAAGACCTTAAGGATTTGCAGGACCAGTCCTGCTCCCTCTCTCCCAGACCAGAGCTGCTCCCTGTTTCCGAAAGAGAAAATTCAAGCATTTGAGAAAGATAAAGAACTTTTTTATTATCGAAACTTTGTAAATGAACAAGAAAGTGTGTCATGAAAGTGTCAGGGGAACTTACCTTTGTGGACATAATTCATCCAGGCCGTGGCCACGGAGAGAAACAAACTTCTGAAATCCAAAAAGGAGTATCAAACTACCAAAAGCAACCATTTCAGGACTCAAAAGATGACGTTTCTATTTTTTAACATGGAAAAGAAAGGGATTTCAAGATCGCAACAAATGGTGGAAATTATACTCTTGTGCAACAGTCTTGAGCCACCTCCAGTGTGAACACAATACCAGAATCAGCGGAGAACTGGGTGTGTTTGCGATTGTGTGGGTGTGAATAATTCATCCATAGAAAAAGGCCCTGGCTGCATTCTGTTATCGCTGTTTTAGGAGGTGAGTTAGGGGTCCATGTTTTCAAATACTGTACAAAAGTACATTTTAGAATAGATTTGGATGAGAAAAACCAACAAGAAAAAGTTGCTTCCAAGAAACTTTTAATGGCCAGTTTTTGGAAACTAAAATAAGACTTTTGAAATCCTGGTTTGCAACCAATTACCTATTACAAGGTTGATGAGAAAAATACAAAAAGACAGACAACTAGACAATTCTGAATTGGTATTGTGTAGAGTCCTGCTGCTTTAACCTGGCATATTTCTTTCTACATGCAATTGAAGTAAAAGCTACCTGTTCCAAAACTCAAATACAAATGACATTGTAATGGCATTTGCAGGACTCCTGTGGTGTAGGGAAGGCGTTTGTGTGTAGTAGTCTAAGGGTTATCTTCCTGCATTGTTATTATCACAGATACACTCACCCCTTGTTTTTGAGTTGTTGAAATCCTTCACTGTGTTCTTTTCTTACTCCAGCTGTAAAGAAGAAACACAACCTTCAGCGAGTGACTGGAGCTGAAACTGTGATTGAGAATGAAGAGTAGGCCTTAAGAAAGGGGCTGCTGACTAATATCCAGCTCGTGTAGGAGTTGCTGTGCAATAACAAAACTATGTGTAATGTCCAAAGTCACCCCAGAAGTTTACATCCAAAAATAGCTTGTATGTATGTTAGAAGACACACACATTGACATCAATTAAACAACTCTTATGTCATTGTGATATGAACATCTTTATTCCACCAGTAATGAAGTGCAATCTGTGTCCTTCTCCAATATTTGAACATTTTTATTCAAATAGCTAGTGACAGCCCATGATATAGTGAAACAGGCAGGGGATAGGTGTTAAAATGACCTGTTATCAAGAAAATTATGTATGACTTATCCTTTTAAAGTTGAAGTAAAAATAAATTATCTGGTTGTCCCTGGAAATCAATGGTTTATGTCATTTTGTTTTCGTCAGTGCATTCAGCATTGACCCTTTCCTTTCTGTGAATATATAATACATTTTGTTCGAACCCATAAAGGAATTTATATATTCATAATTTTGATGTTCCAGGCCTAAATCTTTGCATGCCTGAATGAAACTGGCTCTCATTTTCTCCATGACGTATTTCCCTGAGTCATTTTCCTCATTCAGCTCTGGAAAAGCTTTTTCAGATCTTATTGAATCTAAAATAGTGAATGGGAGAAGTAAGCTATAGAGAAAGATCAGACTGGAGACTGTCCAGACTGGAGACCACTGACATAGGTAGCAAAAATGACTCCTTTTAGGCGCAAAGGACTTCAAACAAATATGCACCCTCTGAGATTTCAAGAGGATTTAGATGAAAGCATGTGCTAAACGAATAAATGCCAACATTCTTTATAGCAAAATCCACATATCCTTACCACCAAAGGCGCAGTCGGCAGCTGTAGGTATAGCTGAAATGCATTGCCCTTGTTTTCTAGGCACTTGAAAGGTGCTGGCTATTACTAGTAGTCATCTGGGCCACCCAAAAACAACAGTGCTCAGATTCTAAACCTGACCGGTGTATAATCAAGACTCTCATGCGAAACTCGCCATCATCAAGGCTCATGTCTGAGACACAACAGAAAAGTTAAAATGTTCAATTAAAATAACTCACCAAGCCATGCTCCCAAACAAGAGAGTGTAATTTATACAACTGCACGTACAATTACATGGATTATGAGTCAGTGACATAGTGATGTACAAAGACAGCACCTCGATTCCGGTTCTTCACTATGTGAGTCTGAGTCCATCTCAAATGTACTGTGTTGTACATTATTTTTTCTCCTAGAGTATGTTTAGAAAAGCAGTGTGGACTTAGGTATTTACAGCCATTACATTATGCAGATTCCCAGTCTCTTCTGAACAGACTTCAGAACAAAAAGATAAAATAAAATGATAAAAAAGATAAAAAATATTTTGTATAGGCTGACAACAAAAAAGAGCATTAAAGACAGAAAAAGTTTTTTTTTGACAACATATACATATAGTGAGCTATCTGTGAGCAAGGTTGAACAATCTCCTGTGAATTGCATAGTATTTTTAATAATATTAGTTTCTGGGTGGCAGTGATTCACTAATGCACATTACGAAAGACATTTGTGTCAATCACTATGAACCTCATCTTTTTAAAGAGCAGAAATGTGGAAATCTTTATAACCAAGCTGCAGCAGCTGGGCAGCACCAGTGAGTGCCCTTAAGTGCAGCCTACTCCTCACAGGGTGTATTTAAAGATGCACCGAATATAGATTTCATTGGGTGGAGGTCATCATTCTCCAACTTTTAGGCTTGATGCCTCTCGGAAACTATACAAAAGAGGGGAAAAAAACACAATGTGGAAAGAAGGACCAAAGAACCGGTTGTTTAACTGGTTGAGTAAAATAATCCCATTATGATACAGCTTTCTTTCAATCCACAAATATAACAAAACACAAGCAACAAAAGGTCTTAGCCTCTAGGTTTGGTGACTTGAGTTTGTGTTTTGTGTGTGCTGCAGGAGACCTCAAGGCTACTTACAGTAGGCTCCAGCTTGGCTCAGCCTCTAAAAATAAGTGTTCATTATTGAGCATGTGTTGAGTGTGCAATACTGTATTACTGCAGAGTGTAGAATTTCTGCAATGTCCCTCATGGAATTGAGAAAGTATCTATCAAAACATTGCAGGTTTGGACTGGACTGTCATGAGCCACACGTGACGCTTGCTGGGGCTGTCCCAGTGGTATTGATCTGTAAATGAACTGAACACTACTTTCAGGGTATCCCCAGGTGACCTCCTAGTCCCCCATATTCTTTCACTGCTGTCCATGCAAGTCAGGTTGCTTTTCCTTTTCCTTTGATGCCAGCTGGTCTCCAGGCGTTCTGAGAAGAAGAAATGGACGACGCTACCAGCGTATTCTAGGGGGGCTCAGCCTTTCTGTGCAGGTACAAGGGTCGGACCTGTGAAACACAGCTGATTAATATTTGCAGATTTCAAAACAGGAAAGAGGTGGGGAGAGAGAGAGAGACGAGTGTTCAGTCAGGCCTGCAGAAGACCTTTAACCTCCACTGAACCTGGACAGCATACCTGATCATACACAATCTGCGTTCTGTGATTTCTATGTGTCTTTAAAACCAGGAGCTGCCATTGCTTCAGTGAGCTGTTCTGGTTTTCTTATTTCCTCTCTTCGGTGCCAATGAGAGTTAAATATGAAGCAGTCGCACTGTAGTTACAAAGATGGATGAAGGGTAAGATGCACAATCTTCCTTTTAGACCTGAAACATGTTTCTTTAAAGGTTACTGTACATATTTAAAGCCCTGCATTAACCAAAGAGATAGCTAGTGTCCAGCACTGTATTTTTGAAAGATTTATACTTTGTCAGCTCCAGGTATGGATTTAAAATTAAAAAGTACGTTTTTTAGCACTGTGGGAATCAAAGTGACAAACCGAACTGCACGATTTCAATTTTTCTTAGTACGGGAGTAAGCTGTCTAGTTACAATACAGGTTTTCTTCATTAAGCAAGTCTTAATTAAGAGAGCAGTCTATTTTAATTTTAGAATTTGCAAAAGGAAATAGTTTAAAGAAAGGCAACCGAACTCCTCTTGTTGTGAATGTTATAAACCTTAATTTAAAGGCGGAATGTGAAAACAACAACTTTAGATCTAAGAAGAAAAAGGTAAATTGCACTAAAACTGCACATACACACATACACAAGTTTATACATATAAATCAAATTTTAAAAGGATGTTATTTGCAACCAAATAATACTATATTATTTCTCACAAATGAGGAAATAGCTGTAGAAAAGGTGTGTCCAGAAGCACTTAGCATTATTAGCACTTGGCACTTAGTATTAGAACTGTCCAGTGATAGCTAGTGGTGATAAGAGCCTCAAATTGGATCTGAACTGAAGACACGTATGTTCTGTCTGTATCACAACATTTTTCTAGCCTCTGATCTCAGATCTCTGACCTTCACTATCAGCTAAATATGATGATATTTGTTCTTATCTGCCTCATTTTGATCATACCTGATGCTTATCCACTTTTTTTTTGCTAGAGGATTCTTACCATAAAATTGACTCTTATATACAGAACAATAACATGATTTTCACTTTGTCACTTTCTTCTATTTTTAAATTTATGAGGAATCACTAAAATGTCACAGCAGTTTGGAAATGAGTCCTGTCTGCATATTAGGACTCATTTAAACTAGTTTATTTACCTAAACTTAATGCATTTATACAGTACATTTCAGCAAGACAGTAACCTTTAAAACAAAACTGTGAAAACTGACTATTACATACACTATGCTGGCAGCAGAATGGGGTCAGAGTCTATGGTAAATGGTATATTTTTGTACACAAAGTGAACAGACACGAAACAAGAGCCCTGGGCCTGAGGAAGGATATGGGTTTTTGCTGACTTAAACCAAGAATCCTGAGAAGCTGCATTAGGGGTGATGGGGAATTTTCGGGGCACTCTTTGTGAACATAATAGTTTGTGTAGGTGTCAACAGCAGGCAGATCTTATATTCAGATATGGTGAAAAGCGTGTTGTGTGGTATTGATATTATTGCTGAGCGATGAATGACAAATTCTGTAAACAAGAAAAGCCATTTTCTGACCTCAGCAGCAGACCTCAGCCTGTCCTATCCGTGTGCATTTTTAATGTCCTATTAAAAATGCACACGGACGCTGACTTTCATAAGGTCCACTGAGGCAATGCCATCTCAGAGGGTGTGACGTTCCTGGACGGTGGCCTTGCCTGTGTTTGTTCCAGAAACACATTATGTGAACAGGGACAACAATAGAAACAGACTTTTTTTTTCTAGCCAGTCCAGTCTGTTTCAATAGGCACTGTGGCAACATGAGCCTAGGGTTGTGTTCAGTGTCTGTGGTATGGCAGTGGTAAAACTGCAGACAGGCTAGGCAGCGTAGAGAACAGCGATAAGAACTCTGGGAATTGGCTCCTTTGCAGCAGTTTAAAGTGGGCAGATCACTACTAATTACTGTACTCCTAATGACTTCATCCATCCATAACATGTTCCATAATTACACAGAACAGCCATGGGACACAAAAACCTCAAAGATCACTGCGATATTTTTAATAGTATAATTCCACTAGTAGTGGTCTGATAAACTGAAATGTCATCTTTTTTGTCATGCTTCAAATGTGAGGGCGTGCCATTTCTCTGAAGGCTGTGCACTTGCTTTAATAAAAGCATGTCGGACTTTTTTAGAACTGCTTATCTCTTAATCTTGCTCTAACCCCTTCCACTGTTTGATAGTACGCTGTGCTCATCTGCACAGAGTTAATTGTTTATTTTTTCATTTGCAAGTTAAAAAGTACAAACTTTGAATAGGTGGGGATATTCAGACATACCAATTACTCTGAGACAGAAAAACAGCTGCACATCTTGTACATAATTAATAAAATAACACCATGACCAACCCAGGGATATACTGTAGATATATTATCTATATAATGCAAAATATCTCCTGTTCACAGCATTATTGCATAAGAAACATTCATCTGCCTGTTATTAGAATATAAGCACTGTCTAAGGTACAATTATAATCTACTAGTTAAACCATTTGTATTTTTCAGGTTATTTTTTTTAACATAACAGGATAAATCAAAACTAAAGAACAAGTGTAGACTTAAAATAGAACTAAATCTCCCCATAATTTTGAAGATGGCAGAGAGTGTGATTTTGACCTTTTCCACTCTCTAGTTTCTGTAGTGTCTCAGACTCTGAGTTCCAATACAGCACAAGAAAAGAATCAAAAACCATTTGGCCACTTAAACGTATCCTATGACTTGATTCTAAATACTTCATAAGCTGAAGTTGAGTAAACTCTGCAAATCCTTCCATCCTTTCATTTCCTAACTGCTTTCTCCAATTCAGGGCCGCGTGGGAATAGGAGCCTATCCTGGCAGGCAGCAGGCACAAGGCAGGGTTACACCCTGGATGGAATACCAGTCCAGCACTGGGCAGGGCAGACAGACACAAACACACACTCACACCTGGGTCTATTTTCCCAGAAACCTAAACACACAGAGAAAACCCAAGTGAACATGAGGAAAACATGCAAACTCCACACAGACAGCACCTGAGGCCTGGAGTTAAACCTAGGACCCCAGCACTGCAAAGCAGCAATGCTAAACGCTGTGCCAGTGTGCTGCCCTCTAATAAAATTGAATATGACTGCATTACTACAGTATACCGCTTTTGGTGATATGATACAAGGTAATTTATATTTATAGAATTTATATGAGAATAAATAAATATTGATATCACTCTCAGTAAGTGCAGTTACACAGCAATGCTATCAATTTACCACAGTCCACAGAACAGCCATGCGTCCTTGGCAAAAAACATTCTTACAAAGACTTAACTGGACTTGAACATGTTAGAGCATCAAGCGTCATCTTCCTTATTTTACTACAGGTCAAGCCTGAGGCATATACTGCATAGATGCTCCCCTCTGTATATACAGTATCTTGTGTAAGGGGCAACAAAAAGACCACAGTACAGTGATAGAGACTCCAAAGAAACAAATATTACCCCAAACAAAAAATAAAGTAAAACTGCCACTTGCAAAAAGATTAACCGGGAAGCAAACGTGAATGGAAGAGGATGTGTTTTTGTCACCAGAGAATCCGTTTTGTACAGTTGCACGAGAGAGAGACTTTCTGTCTATTCATGATAGGCTTCTGTGTACAAACAGCCCTCACTGTTACCCCTTAACATATCAGGATAAAAAAGTAAGTAGAATAGGAAAAACAGTAAAATAGGAGGCCTTTGTGTCTGCCAATGGATTCTGGAAAAGAAAGACAAATGATGGCGATATTGTGATGTGTGGGAATATTGCAGAAAATCCTTGAACCACATCCAGCCTTGATGGATGAATGACCGTCTTTTATACTTAACATAGTTAGGCTTAACTCATTTTGGATTTATGTTCTATATTTAACAAGACCCTATTAAAAAACAACACAGGATTTCTGTATTCGTTTCCTGACAAAATGCTTTTACGAACATGTGAAGAAAAAAACTTGTCCTAATAATACGATTGTAAAAAAGAAACCAAATATGCCACTGTAGCAAGCGGGTTTTCAGCGCAAATGAGAAGCAGGCATATAGGATTTTGAAATTATCATGCTTCATTGTAACTCTAGTGCTTCACAGAGAGCAAAGACTCAGAAAATGAAATGCTAAATGATGTTGAAAAGTCTTTCCAAACGTCTGCTTTTTTAAAAAGGGAAAACTATACTTTGAAATTCAAATCTGAAAATACGTTTAATACAAAGTTCAGTTAATTAGACCTAATTACACAAGCTATTGATTTAACATTTTGCAGTGAATTGGGCGATTTTCCTCAGTTTCTCATGATTAGTTCTTTATATCTTACTGCTGCTTTTTGAGCACAACCTGTTTCTACTGTTCTGACCTGGGTTTTTTATGTATTTTGACAGAGATTTTGACATTGCCAAGGTAAAAAAATTGTTTTATAACTGCAACTTTCTTTATATTTAGTCAATAAATGTACAAAAACACTCGTGTTTAAATCAACAGAACAGAAAGTAAATTTAAAAATCAAATCTGCAGGGGCAGCATTGTATAAAAATATGTTGGGTAACAAACTGAAAAAAAGGGGAAAATGATTTATAAGCCTAAAAATTAAAAATACATTGCAATCAGTGGATCTTATTTTCCAGTGCGATTTTCCAACTCTTCCAACAATTTTGTATCACACAAGTCAAATTTGTTTTTCCAAAAGGTTTTTTAAAAAGAAGAAAATCAAAACCTCACACAATTCAAAAAGCAGAAGTCATTTACGATGAATCTGACTTTTAAAAGCTATTTGATGTGGAAGCCAAACATTGACAATCATGTAAGAGAGCACTGCAGGCTGAAGGAATTTTTAAAAGTCACTTTGTCTGCTCGCACTAGGCCTCGGTTAAACCAGCACAGTGAGATTACAACACCCTCTCCTGACTACAGAGTTAACAGCCTCAGCTCACAGTTCCAAACACAGGGCTGCAGCCTGGTTGCTTTCATTTAGCTTCATCTCTATAGAAACCAACACGCACCACAACCCATTCGGGAGGGAGCGATGAGCACAAGTGCTGGAGCAGCAGAGTATGAGCCTAAAGAATAGACACATAAAAATAGAAGTAATAGACCAGAGATAAAAGTTACATTTCTTCAGGATAATGTGCATAATTCACAGATTACC